CGTTGGCGCAGGCAAGTTCACCCGCGGCTGGCTTCCAGACTGCGGCGATTTCTGACTGGGTATGGAAAGATCGGGTTCCAAAGGCCGGATCCCTTGTGAATCAAGTCACGAAAAATTAAAGAATCGGCAACAGGCCATGGGCCTATTTCTTCAACGCCGACACTTCTATTCTATTCTATTCTATAACGCTGGCTTACGTTATGGGTCCGCCGCAGCTATGAAGGCTATTGCCAACCTCCCGATTTCTGCGGCCAGTCTGCAGTAAAGTCTTCCAACTACACCTCGAGTTAACAGACTATTCGAATGACAAACTAAACATCCTGATAATGACTTCTCCGTGGCTCTTCATTTTGTCTGGAAATATTAGAACATATCATTTACCGAAGTGATGCAACAGTAGGCTAAACATCAAGCAATATTAAGCTCTTTGATGTTATATCTAAGGGATTAAATATGAGAAGAATTTTACTTTCGATCGATCATAAAATCAAGCAAGTTTTAGTTGTTGAACTCAGTAGGTATCCATGCTACCAGCTAGGATGTGGAGAGGAGGAAAGAAACCTCAATTAATCAAAGCGGTTCCTTCTTCCTACAGAGTAACAGGTGCGCTATCTTGATCGTGACTTGCTGAATCTTGCCGCTGTAATTGAGGCTGTTCTGATTTATTTATGCACGTCGATAATTTATGAGTGGTTTCGATTTTCATGTGTCATAAATTTTGATTAACATAAGACACTTCATTCATGAGTTCCACCCTTCAGCCTTTTTGAAGCGGAACAGCAACCTCGCTCCGCCGAGCCAACCGCGGGCCGTATTATCAAAACTTCGTAACTTTTTGTACTTCCGACAAAAAAGTTACGTGTTACGTAAGTACACCCTAATTTTGGCATTATCAAAACATTCGTTCGTAAGACTTAGCTAAAAGCGTACTATCAAAACCATCTGGCCAACTGACCAATCAGAGGCTTTGGATTTGTTTACATTCTGTGAACTTCGATGGCGGGAATCGATGCCTTCGATGGTATCGACTATCGAATGCTGTCTTTCGGTATTGAGTAGGTATTGCTCCTTGTTGGCCCAGAAAAAGCCGTTCTAAAATAGTTGTGAACTCATTTTAATAAACAGCGTGAGTTGAAGAAGAAATCTCTGTACGGAGCTAAAAATTATGGTTGGCAGAGATATAAAGTACCGACTAGAAGGAATGAATGAATTGAATTTTTGAAAATGAATGAGAAAATTTTTGAAAAAATGAATTGACTTTTTTTCCGATAGCACTGTTTAGCACGATCACATATTTTGATCGTGCAAATGTTGCACGATCAAGTGGTGGTGACATCACAAGTAGAACCATCATTCTATGCGTGTATAATCCGCGCTGTCGGATTATTGACAAAATTCTATCACAAGTCAAGGTGTTGCTACTTGCTAGTAAATCAATAGTTTCCTATCGCTTCAGCAGACACTCTAAACTTGTGCGGAACTCCATTTACGACATCTCCGAGCAGGCGTACAGTTACCTTACGTATCTTCCCGCGCAAATGTTTTGATAATACCACCACTAAAGTTACGTCATCAAGTCAGTACTTACGCCGCTCGTAAGTCGATTTTTTTTGATAATACGGCCCCTGATCGAGAATTGTTCCCGCTGCAGCCGTTCTGATGTGAGGTCAAACAAAATTCCAAATTCCATCATGTTTATTGAATAAATGTGAACTATAATGAAAGCGAAACTACATAAGTAAAGTAAATCCTATGCACAGTAAATCCTATGCACAAGTAAATCCTATGCTACAGATAGAATGTGAAGATCACAATGTTGGTTCAATAATAAAGTCTCCATACCAGGAAATGAGATAGAAAAACTCGGCAATCGTTGCTGAGAACGAGGCACATTGCTTAACAAATGAAACAAGCATAGTACTCAATGTCGCAACCCCGCAGCATGGGGAACTCAAATACACAAACTTTTTTGCCAAACAGACCAGGCAAATGCATTATAAAATATACACAAAGCCTTATTGACCTCGGGCATGAAGTCTAAAAACAACTCAGACCACGAATGACGTCAATAGGAAGTAAAAGTTTAGTTCCTACCATAGATTAACTCATATTTATTGAAACAAAAAGCACATTGCTAGAGCTTATTAGAAATCACAGAAGAACTTTTAACGAAGTCATCGATGGCTATTTTTCGAAGCATCATAAAATCTCTTAAGAAACAGCCTTTTGTTTGGAGTGACATCAACATTCCCTGTTCACATTTGTGATTAAAACTTAGGAGAAAGAAACTGCAAAAAGACTTCGCATATAGCAACAGACCAGTTAGTTGAGGGCTGTATCTCGCTATCAGGAACCTTTAGGAAAGGCTCTTTCTGCTACAGCCTTGCAGCCAACAGCTTGAGTGACATTGTTACCGCTCCGCAGTCTTTCAGCGCTCTTATGATAGATATAAAAAATATAGCTGATGATTTACCTCTGGAGCGGCATTAAGGCCTCAACAAGCAAGTGGCGCAGCAAGTGGACTTCAAGCAAGTCACAAGTGGACTGACACTTGTGACTTGCTGGCACTTGCCGTGACCTGTTGCTATTGGTGGTAACTTTCTGAAACTTGTAGTTACTTACTGACACTTGGCATGACTTGGTAGTAGTAGTCGTGACTTGCTGACACCTGTCGTGGCTCATTGAAAATTATTGCAACTTGTTGACACTTGCCGTGACTTGCTGATACCTTTTTGGACTGGCTGACACAAGTTGTAACTTGCTGGCCCTAGTTATTACTTACTGACTTTTGGCGTAACTGCTGACACTTACCGCAGCAACTGAGGCTGTTCTGATTTATTTATGCACTTTAACAATTACGTTTTTTTCAACTGTTATAAATCGAACGAGGCTTGAATTACATAAATCGTTCGTTCAGCGACATATTTTACTACAAGGCGGATTTGAAATAGAAAACATAAAACAAAATTTCTCCCTATTTCCAACTGAAATTCTCCTTATTTGAATATGTAGCCATAGCCTCGAAATTTCTTAACTTAAATATTATTTGGAACGTACCAACTTGAAAACATCTGACTCTTGCTTCTTTGACCCCATTTTGTCATGAACAAAAGAACAATGAGAAGACTATATTGCTATCTCGATTCGATTGTAATTGAGTGAGATGGATTAACATTTTGGTTCTAGAGCTGAGATTCATTTATGACTGCTTCAAAAAAAGAGCTATTATGAAATAGCTACTCAAAAAACTATAAATTTGAAACTGTGAATTTCTTACAAAAGCTAAAGTTCTAAGGACCATGTCTTCGTCGAGTTGATCATCATAAAGCTAGGCGTCGTCTCCACCATATTCGTCGTGGTTGGAGCTGGAGGTGTAGTCGTCAAAATCATCGCTGTGGTCAACGTACATGTCCTTATAAGATTTGTAACTCGCGCAGGGGCTCTATCTGGTGCTGGAGGAAATCATGGTCGAAGTCCAGCCACTCGTTGTCCGTTGTCCAGCCACTCGACCCGACGCGCTCGTAGATGTACCAGTGCAGCTTGTGGTCTGAAACAAAAATACGTTCATGCACATCAGAACGATACAACAAATTCAGGGCCATTAAGTTGTGGTGTTAATTCTTTATTGCGATTCAAGCTTTGTTTTAAATTATAAGCTTAAAAGGCAGCAAAGTAAAATGGAATGCACGCTTCGATGAACCAAAGAAATTCAGCACAAAGGAGCTAGTCTGCACTATAAACAATTTTTAACAAAGGGATGCCGAAGAAAATTCATTGTTCAGTGAAGGACATATTAGATCAACTGCAATGAACGTATCTCTTAAACAGATCGCATCAAATATCAATTGATCATGACTTAACCAAAGAAAGTCGAGACAGTTCACTTGATATGCTCCAGTAACAGGGAAAACGCGTGAGAGCAAACCTTTGATTTTGATGAGAGGATTTTCGAAGGCCGCATGGTAAGGGTAATGGACATGAAGCACGAGGGGTTGGTCGTGGTCGAGATACAGTGAGGGAAACCTGGACCTGCCCTCGGCCAGCGCCTTCCTGCGCAGCGCAGTGAGCTCCTGTGCCGTGGCGAGATTTACGAACACCATCCCGGCGCCGATCTCGACCAGCTGAACGTGGGCCACGAGTCTGCAGGGCAACACGCATTAGGGAGCTGCTCTACGGTTGCGGCACGGCGGGTACTGGCTAGGTTAGGTTAGGCTATAGCTGCTCTGACTATTCCAAGCCCTCGCAATGAATATCAATCCATTTGTCTGAATTCATTAGTTTTGCATCATGTGCCCCGATTCATAACGTCTAATTGTATTAGAACACCACGAATGTGTATTTAATGCCCATTTAACAAATGCTTAGAGTAGCTGAATGAGAGATCGTACTCATCCGAAGCCGTTGGACAAAACTTTGGAGAACGAGTGATAATAAACGGGATTGGAAGGCAATCAAAACCAAGAGTCAAACCATGGTTAATGCTAAATTCCCTATCACTTTAGACCCGAATAAATCTGAAAATCTAGAATTTACATTTCAAGTAACAGCAATGGAGTATGCTGGAAACATGTATGTTACAAATTTTTTACGAAATATATACACATGATAAAATCCTTTCATCGCTTGGTCAATTTCAATTTATTCTTCAAGAATTTCAATTTGAAGATCAACGTTTTATAATTCTGTGTGTGTGCGTGGGAAGGAAATGTCTATCAATCATCCATCTCATTTGACTGAACAACAAAAAACGTGTCCGCTAACAAACTAACCACTCCGGCACTCTAACAAACTAACCGAGTTCACATATGTAAATATGCTAGGATCAGAGATGGACTCACAGTTTCAGCTGAGCCAGTGAGAATTTCTCGTTTTTGACGAAGACTCGCTGCAGCTTTGGCATGCGCAGGAGGCACTTGTACGAGTCATCGTCCAGAGCAACGGAAGGCAGCGTTAGGGACTTCACCGACGTCGGTGCAAGTGAAAAGTCTACGGTGAGCAGCTGAATAACAGAAATTACGAATAACTAAGAATGAAACGTAGGTAATTTTCACTTTATTTTATGTCATAATATTGAACCTAGCTTATGTAAAGTTGTGAAAACGATAAGGAGCGACGTGGTTGCTCCTCTCTATGGGGGAGAAAAATTTAGGGTAGAATACCAAGCGACGCTTCGTGGCAGCTTGCGGGGCGTATTTAAGTAGCGCGGCGTACCGCGAAAGCCAGTGTAGCTGGCTGAGGGTAGCTGGTCCCAAAACAACACACACCGTCAAAGACACCATCACGCTGACGGACTGACGAATTTTACCGCGAGTGACGTACATTAAAGACGTGACTTATTAGACGATAAAAAATATAAAAAATATAAATATTTAATATCTAAAAAACGAGCACCGACCATTCGCGTATACCATTCTAAACCTTAACGGGTAATCACCCCCCTCCCCACCCACAGCAAAACCCAACCTAGTTTTGCGCATTGCACCTATTTCGTCTTCCACTATTATTTCATTTTCTCCTTCCTCTTCAGGTTTACTGTGCCCCCTCTTGTTTTTCTCCAAACTTTCCTAGTGGCACCGCACCACCACCACCAAAGCCAGTTCCGTTGCAACCGGCCTAGAGAGTGGTCGCGGTACTTGTCTCTGTTGGGTGACGCGTCCAAACGAAGGTCGGAGCAGTGTTAGAACGTGATTGGATCCGACGAGTGAACCGATTACCGGTACCCCTTAAATTGCCACGCTACGAGATCAGACGACGCAAGATTATTACCGAGTGAACCGATTACCCCGAGAAATGACAGCAACGCTACGAGATCTGGCAACGCATGATTATTACCGAATGAACCGATTACTACGAGAATTGACAGTAACGCTACGAGATCTGGCGACGCAAGATTATTACCGAGTGAACCGATTACCCCGAGAATTGACAGCAACGCTACGAGATCTGGCAACGCAAGATTATTACCGAGTGAACCGATTACCCCGAGAAATGACAGCAACGCTACGAGATCTGGCAACGCAAGATTATTACCGAGTGAACCGATTACCACGACAATTGATACCCACGCCGCGAGATCTGGCAACGCAAGATTATTACCGAGTGAATCGATTACTACGAGAATTGACGGTAACGCTCCGAGATCTAACGACGCAAGATTATTACCGAGTGAACCGATTACCACGACAATTGATACCCACGCCGCGAGATCTGACGACGTACGAGAGGTGACGGGATCCCGAAGGTAACCGCGAACACCAAGTCACGACGTCCCTTCAGAGAATTGGAGAGAAATCCGACGGCCTTCAGAGAATCTTCCATACATCGAGTTCCAGAAAACCTCAACACCTCCGACTCTCTCTTTGTTCCAGATTTTCACTTTCAGAGCTGTTAGACTGTTAGGTACCAATTAAACCCAGTTTAGGCAAGGGGCTTTATGGACTAGTTTCCAGTGCTCCTATAAGAATAAATAAGAAAGAAAAGAAAGAACATCTCCGACCTTACACCTGACACCACATGGCTGACGTGAGTTTTTCAAGAGCCTAATATATTCACGTTGATCAATCGGAGCCAGTCGAGAACCTTTTCAAACGTGCCACAATGAACCACTTCGGCTTAACCAACCTGACATATGATAAATAATGAATATCTGCAACCGTAACGCAACGTAAAACTGAAAGAGACTCTGATTAAACAACGTGAATATATTAGGCTCTTGAATAACTTACGTTAATCAGAGCACTTCACTTGCAGCGTTCATCTAAGGAGAAAAATAACTATTTTGAGAAGATAAAAATGGAAAACAATCAACTCGTAGCCAAACTAATTATTCAAGACTCTATGTCGTGAGCGTAATGTTTAGATACGCATCTAAAATATTCCAATTGGAGTCAAATAACATCAGCCCTTCATCAAGCAAAGATTCGTGAGGCCTGCAACATGGAAAATTCATAAAACACCGTCTTCCTAACACGAAACATTGCACTGTCCCATGCGGAGCAGCGATGTTTGCGTGAATTGAATTTTATTTATGATATAGTTTTATAGGGTGCCGATGATGAACTAAATAATGAAAAATATATATTTTTTATTTCCAATCTAGTAATCATGCTATCCAAAGATAGTTCATATGTTCAATGTACACTGTATCATTCCGAAATCATAAGGAATCTAACTTGCATTCTAAGATATTTTCAAGACTTATTCACACGTCCACGGGCGAGGATATGCTAAATTATTAAGATTAAGATTCCCTAAAATAAGGTCAGGTTCATCCCTGAAATTTTCAGTCCCGGAGAAACTGTATAGAATAGAATAGAATAGAAGTGTCGGCGTTGAAGAAATAGGCCCATGGCCTGTTGCCGATTCTTGAACTTTTCGTGACTTGATTCACAAGGGACTCCCTTTCGTCCAGCAGGCGGGTCCATTCGTTCAGAGTCGACAAGAGGTTAGTGGTGCAGGATCTCCCGGCAATAAAGCCATGTTGACAGTCTGATAGGAGATTATTAGCAGTCAGATGATCTATCAATCGATCCCTCACAACAGATTCCATTACCTTGCAAACGACACTTGTCAAACTGACAGGGCGAAATGCCAGCTTTTAAAATTTTAATAGAGATGTTGAGCAGCTAGCAGCCCTCTGCCTCTAAACCTTGGAAACTAATGGTTTAAATAAGAAAGATTTCTTCATATATCACATAAAAACCGAAAATCAAAGTTAGAACAGGTGAATATGTGAAAAAAGTCTGAGTGGCAAACCATGAAGTTGAGAACTCTGAAATCTTTAACGACAGTAAATATAGTTATTAGTTAATAGAAAATATCAACAAGGTTTCTAACTGAAGTTCTTTAACTTGCTTTATTTGCAATTCAAACTCGCAACTCACGTCATGAACTTCTCCTGGGCAAAAGTCGATGTAGAGGTCCTCGACGTCTGGCAGAGCGCTTTTGAGAAGAACCTCAATTTCAACCATATCACCAATCATACAATGTAGCACCTGCGACAACAAAAAGCCATTTTGCCACCAAATGAAACATCAAAAGAATAAACCAACAATTACATTACAGGTAAATTTGATAAGGATTCAGGATTGCGAATGATCAAACAAATCTATGTACACACGTACAAGATGGTAGTCTTGTCCAGAGTCTCTAAAGATGAATTATCGAAAGCTTGCAACATTTTTCTACCTTCAAGTTATTGAATGTCTTGAAATTGGGAGTCTCTGCAAAAACGTAGCAATCAAGCTGGAGTTGGGTGAGCGCTGGACACTTGCATGCCAAGGAGGGGAGCCAAGCATGCAGCCAATCTTCCCTGCACGCCAAGCACAGCAAACACCAAATGTAAAATTAATGGACTTAGTGCAAGAAACTAAACAAGTAATATTACTCAACTTCACATGGAAGTCTCGTTCTTACTAAATGCAACTCAGATATTTGTCTGTGATGATGAGACATGCACTGTTTACTGTAACCTGTATACCGGCAGTTGACTCTTACAAGTCTGCGCTAAAGAAGGCGAACAAGCGTAACGTCGTGAGTGTAGAGTTGACAGGGAAGCCTGGAAAGCTATCGGTTGATCTCAACTTCGATAACGTGTCAACGTTGCGGATTGAGAGCTCTTGCAGAGGAGATTGCAACTTCCGCAGAAGAGCGAAGTTAAAATGCGTTATTCCGCCCAGCCGCAACACCTCCAGGCATTTGCATTGCCTTAAGTCTCGCAACAATTCATTCGAACCTGACGTGTTGAAGCAGCCCTGAAAAAAATATTCAATCATTAATTGTAAGTCGTAAGCAAATTTTTCTTATTCTTCAAATTGAACACGCAAATTTTTTCAGCAAATAGAAGCATTTTCATCCATAAAATTGTGCAGAAGTTCATAGCATAAAAGAAACAGAACTGTACTCAAGCGGAAGCCCAAAACTTTCAGCCGATCCAATTAAGAAAAGCACTTACAAAACGTAAAGTTTTTTTAAAGCAGATCAACAAAGACTTAAGAAAAACTGAGCAAATCGTTAAAATATTGAATACGAGAGTCGTATTAGAGGGAACGCAAATAAAATGCCACAGGGAAAATTGGCAAGAGTTTTGCCTCAATTTATGACCAGGAAAGGACCAAGAAATGGAGTGTTGACTATACTGAGCAATGGCCATTGCAAAGAAGTGGGAGTTCTGCGAGAGACTGGTGTAATCTGTGAATTTTGCCCCAAAGAAGGTTATAGACTTCTTCATTATTTGGATTGCATTCGGGTGATTGCAGTAACAACTACGGCATTGGACAGCCGTTTCTCCTACCACCAAAGACAAGCTCAAAACCAGACCAGGTCTCAAAGTATTCCAATCGAGCAGCATCATCTCAAGATCGTCGAAGAATTCGACTGGCTCCGTGACACCCTAGGCAACAAAGTCAAACCCCGGACTATACCGAACAACGGCTCCAGCAAAAAAGCGAGAGTTCTCCAAGAGGCCGGTGTATTCTATAAATTTTACTTCATAGAAGGTTGTAAACTTCTTCATGTTATGGATTACATTGGAGTTATTGGAGTGAAAACTGCGACATTGAACTGCCGTTTCTCCTACCAGAGACAAGCTCACAGGCATACCTGGTCTCAAAGCATTATTAACAAGCAAGTTCATCTCAAAATCGTCGATGAATTCAACAGGCTTCGTAACACTCTTGACAACAATGTCAAACTCCAAACTAAACGCAACAAAGGCCCCTGCAAAAACGCGGGAGTTATCCGAGAGGCCGGTGTAGTCTATAAATTTCGCTTCAAAGCAGGTTGTAGACTTCTTCATGTCTTGGACAACATCGGACAAATTGGACTAACAATCAAGACACCGAGCCGCTGTCTCGTTAGCTACCTTCAAACTGGAGGGCAGGTGAACCACGCGAGACAAGCTTACAACCAGACCGTCACTCGCATTGTGCTGAACGTACTCACCAGCATCGTGATCAAGCAGTGGCCCTACAACAACCAACCGGCGATAGCTGAACCCCTCATCTCTACAGATTTGACTCCAGCCATCTATTTTCTGACTACCGGATTTGTCTGAAGTGTGAAAGAATTTTTCGAGTAATTTTTGGTCAAAAATTTTACTGTTGTATCCTATTTACTTATATTATGTACTTATTTCCACCAAAACTTCAATGTTTAATGCTTCTTCTAACTTGAAAATGAATGTTTGTTGCATTAGCAGCGTCGTTAATAAATAAGAATTACTTCCTGGAACTTGCCTTTTAATCTACCGTCATCTGAAGAAAAGTTCCACTCACTGATAATATAAATCAACGAATTCTCTGATCATCGATCGCACGTGTGTAAACAAGTAAATTCTGCCATCTAATATTAACAAAGGTATAGGTGCAGATAAAGGTATAGGTGCAGACATAGGTATAAGTGCTGACAAAACTTCTGGCACTAGTAGCAGGACACCATGCATGAAACAAAGGTTAGGACAATGCGCTAGTGTTAGGACCCAGCATTGACAACTCAGTCATCCGAGCCTCACTTCGAGACCGAAAATCCTGAGTTTTGAGCAGCCCGAGAAGATGGTCTTCATGGAGGTGTAGTGCTTCCTCTTTGACGAAAACCGCAGGCATAAATCTTCCAGGTTCACAGCAAGTTGACCTAAAATGGAATAATGTCGTCAATTGCAGTTATTTGGAGAGGCTCAGCAGTCGTTCACAAACTCAAATAGACTGTTTGAAACTTTAATCTGTCTTTATTTCGAATCATTCATAAACAAAATGAATAAAAGAATCGAATGGAGCACCATGAATTGCAATAAAAACATGAATTTAACACGAAGTGCAATGAAAATGAATTTGGATATCAGTGATGGCTTAGCAACTGAAATTTGTAACTAAATATTGTAGCTTACGGGTCTGATTTGGAAGAAGCAGGTACAAATTTAACTGCTTACCTATGGCAGCAAATACGTTGACATCAAAGATGCAGCGATACTCGTCGAGTCTTAGAGTCGTGAGGTGAGTTGCGTTCATGATGAGCATCTTGTAGGTGCAGAGCTTGAGGCCTTGCGTCAACTGGACCGGCGACTTGCTGGAAAGCAGAGCAAACGTGGCTAGGCAACACTCACTAGCAATTATAATGAATGCAACAAAAGTGTTGCATTCATTGCAACACTATGGAAGATACATAGTGTTGCATATGGGAAAAAGAGTGTGAAAGGGAGATACAAAAAACATATGGGAGAAAGAGTGTATGGAATAGCCTACTGCACGTAAACTCGAGTCCAAACCTTGCGTTACTTATAAGAGACGAAAAATATCAAGGAATAAACAAGATCATGAACATCAATAAATAAATGCAGTTCTTGGAAAAGTAGTAGTAGAATGTTTAAAATCGTTTCAGGTATCAATCTATTTCACCGAAGAAGTTGAAAATAAAGCAGGTATTATTGCAAATTTCACAAATCGTTCATAAACCCAAATGGTTAGCAGAGTTAGAATATCAAAGAAACAAAAAATATATGACGGGACAGGTGAACAGATACAGGAACCAAGACTCTCGTACAGTAGGCCGCTCACAAGAGCGTCGGCCGCCCGCACGACAGAGATAAAGAAATGTTAGTAATCCTGCATACGAGACGACAAACCAACAACTGAGACCCACAGTCATATATCGCAAGCTCTGTGGTGGGGCGACCAGCAAAGATATCCCTTCCCTGTAGTGGCACGTCTTGCCACAACACGATCCGATCTCTGCGGTAGCCGTCATGCCACAACACAATCACTTCCATGTAGTGGCAGTCATGCCACAACACAATCACTTCCCAGTACAATTACTTCCCGCAGGACAATCACTTCCATGTAGTGGCAGGCATACCACAACACAATCACTTCCCAGCACAATTACTTCCCACAGGACAATCACTTCCATGTAGTGGCAGGCATGCCACAACACAATCACTTCCCAGTACAATTACTTCCCACAGGACAATCACTTCCATGTAGTGGCAGTCATGCCACAACACAATCACTTCCAGTACAATTACTTCCCACAGGACAATCACTTCCATGTAGTGGCAGGCGTACCACAACACAATCACTTCCCAGTACAATTACTTCCCACAGCACAATCACTTCCATGTAAGGACAGCCGGCCAAAGCCCACCTCCGACATTTGGAGAGGTTGGAGTGAGCACTTTTCCAGACGTGACGTCTATGACGCTGAAGTCTATGACGTTTCCAGCAATAAGAGAAGTCTATGACGCTATTCTGGCCCAGCATGCTGTAAACCAGCGATTGAAAGCGTCGACACACTGCGAGATTGTTATAGCTTATTATGATCATTAAAATGGTGAATACTGACTATTACATAATAATTTGCTTTTTCCTATTTAGCTGCAAGATGTCTAGAGGAAACTTGAGCCTGACAATAAGCAGGTGACTACCATGATATTCCGATTTACGTTCAATAGATTGTAGGAGTGTAAAGAGATATGCCAGCATCGTAAAAAATCAACAGAGAAAATAATTATAAATTCTCATTAGATACATCTGACAGTAGCATTTAAAATATTTTGCTCTTCATTCTCTTTGTCATTGTTTAGTCAAATTTACATATTCTATAATAATGTGTGATATGAAACAGTCTTCTCTTAATAGCAATTTTAAGTAACTCACAGGATAATGATAAATGGATTGATTAGAATGGCTGCTGAGAAACAGCCGGTGCTGATCAGGTGTTCCATACACGCAACTTACCTGCTTCAAGAGTCAGTTTTTCAGCAACACTCAAATATTCCATAATATGAAGCAAGACGTAATCATGGAGGACATGAAGTGTAGGCAGCCCACTACGTGCAGGGCTCAAGTCAAACTCTTCATTGGACAGCTTATGAAGCTGGTAGCGCTTTGAGGAGGGTCGGGATGTGTCCACGTCATAAGATTGCCTTACAAGTGCTCTCTGCTTCCCAAAGAATGCACTCTGCTTCCCATCAAAATCACTCAAAATTCTGAAAAACAAGTATTTGCAATAAACTTTATGTTAAGAAACTTTTTAGCACGTAAATTGAGAGAAAATGCTTTCCAGTAATGTTTTCAATGCCATCTTGAAACATAAGTTTACCTCATTGTAATCATTGTCTTAGGAATCAATACAAGGATTCCAATACTTTCATAATAGAACTATTTCTTCCTGAAACTCATTTTCATTGACCTCATAATTTGCCTACCTTCTATAATTTTGCTGTTAGCAATTTTCAGAAGTGGCTTATAAAAGCTCATCAGTGAAATGAGGGTTGCAAGTAGAACAAGTAACAAGAGAAGGTCAGCCAAATGCAGTGTCAGTAAGAAAAAGCAAATGTGTAGTTACACTCCAATGTTTTGAAAACATGTAATAGGAAGAACAACATAAGGTGTTATATACAATAATTCAACTGAAAATACAGATTTTGATCCAACAAGTAATGTGGCAGTAAGGCCAGCAATGAAGGCAATGAAAATAGAGATACAAATAAAGGGCTTTAAAGGTAGACTGGACCAAAAAAGTGACAAAACACATTAATATGATTTTGGTACCCTTAACATCCTGCATTTGGAACTTTACTGAAAATAACAGCAAGTTGGAGCGGATATGGCAGCCATGACATCAGAACAAAGGCACCCTCTGAGACATCTGAGCCAACCACTTGCTGCTTCTCCACTTTCCAAGAAAACCACAACTAGTGCAATCCTAATCTAAAAACTTCCCTACACTAATACAAAAAACTTTTCATATTGCAACAAATTTCTCAAAACTTACTATTGATGCTAACAATTTTGATAGAATTTAAAAAGGCATTACTTCCAAACCAGGCTAGATCAACAACTAATGATGCTACCATAAAGGTAATGTAGAAAATTTCGATATTTTTCAGCATTTAATATAGAATAAATACTTCGAGGCCATACCTTTGTCAGCAAACCAGAATATGATACCAATGTTTCAGCAGGACAGAGGGGAAAGTTGGGAGTTGCTGTAGTTGCTCACAACAACATCAAAAGTATACACAATATGTTTATTAGGCTTCTTCAACTCACTTATCACTTTCATGCCAGCTGGAGGGAACAATGATGGCAGAGGCAGTCTTCTTGCCAGGCTTCTGCTTCAGGGTGATGCAGTCTTGTGTAATACAAAACTTCTCCGCTATTTCTTCTTTAGTGACCTGATATTCAAATTTAAATGGTAATCAAATTATGAAGGTTCGAAGAGAAAACATTGGTGAAAACATTATTGTTATGCATTAATAAAATTGAATACAGTTGCTGTGATTGTAGAAAAAAGCTGCACTATTTGATGTATGAAAATCCATCCAATTCTGAGCTACCAGTTTAATAATAGTTATTTATAGGTAATGCGACATAGAAATTACGCCAAAATACTAAGGTCATGAACACAAATTAATAGAGTGCTAACTCATTTATAGACTCAAGTCATTAGGCTCCAAAAAATGTGAAAAGTATGTGAAAAGGAGGAATCACATTTCGAAGATTATTCTGCAAATATTACCATTCCTGATTAACTTGAAATTGTTCAACAAATGATGTCAACTACAGCTACAATATGCTTTTTATAATGCTTATGTGTTACAATGTATTGTTAGCTGCAAAATTTCAAAAATGGCACTCTGAGACAAACTAATAGAAATGCAATAGAGACATGATTGATTACAGGAACGATAGAAGTAAAATCAAGAAATCCTTCGAATTAGGACTAAAACAAAAATGACAATTGCACAATGTTTTACATTAATAATACAAATGAAGAACTGATTACTGGTTAAAATGGAGTAAGGCCGATACTGACATGCAGAGGCTTAACATTTAGGAGTTAACTTACCAATGGAGGTAAATTCACAACATGTATGGTCAAGGGTGCAATTTGAGAGCCGAGGTCCTGAAGTGTCATTTGACCTGCTCAATGTGGAAAATGGATTAATTGATAGCTAGTTCATGGCAGAATTGAGAAAAGCCAACTAACTTCTTCTGGCCCCATACATAATAATAAATAATGCTATTCTAACATTTATCCTCTACTTCAGAAAAAATATAATTCAGTACTCACTGCAGTGACTGACAAAGAGAGCATTTTTTCGTAAACGACAACGTGAAGTCACGGACGGACAGACAGACAGATGGACAGACAGATGGACAGACAGAAGGATGGACATGGGGAGCACATTAGCGCCTTTTTTCATAAATAAGGAAATGCGCTAAACAGCTTCATCCATAGAAAAGGTTTATTTTCAGTACCTAACTGCAATACAATTAGGTTGAAAGACAAGTAAGTACACCAGTAAGTCTGTTCTGCAATGTAACTCATAATGGTTGCTTTTTTTCTTGGATAAATAGAAGTTTACAGTTGGAAAGCAATGCTAAAGTTACAAGGTATTTCGAGTACAGACAATAAACTTTCAACCAAATAGAATGTTCTGTGATACTCTTCTGTAGTTTTTTCATAGAAATACAGGAAATTCCATCAAAAGTTTGCCCTTAAAATTTGGTCATTAATTAATCATGTATTAATTTACAAGATATTGCCAGGTCTAATATATTTGGATGAAGGCAAAACAAACTTGTTTTCAACTTAATTGACTAAATGGCAACAACTCTACTCTGAATGAAGGATCTCATTTATTATTCAGAGTCATTTTCATCTCATTCATTGTTGACTACTGCATGATTTTCCAGCTTATTACAGTAGCAACATCATACATAAAATATTGAAATAAATTTTTGAACAAATTCAAGGGAATAAAATTGAACTTGTAACTAGTAAATCAATCATTTGTCACTATGTTTGCCATTACACCAAAATGATGTCATTGATGACTTAATGAGTTAGTGCAAAATTTGTACCACTATTTTCTCTCAAAAATGACACTCTGTGTGTACTAACATTTTGAATGCTATTACCAAAACTGTCAACTTCCTGCCGGTGCAATTCTGTTTGGGTTCCAATTGAACCTTCCTATTTAAAATAATAAATTTGTTTTTTCTGGTGATCAAATAAATTATTTAAACACATTTTTTATTATTTAAACCTTTATATTTTAATATCAACAGGATAGCCTAAAATTGGCCATATTACCAAATTTTGGGGTTCTATTAAATATCACTTTCATTTTTACAAACAACCCAACCATGGGTCAATTTGCAGCAGATGGAAATCAACAACAACCCACTGGTGAGTCATATCAAACTCAACGTGTTAATATCTTTGTCATTATGTAGCTGAACATCAGAATCAGTATGCATCATAGTATTCTCTTTGTATAAAAATTTCATTCTATAAATCATTTAACATATAGAATATTGCAAATTAGTTTATGTCTGCACTGCTAGAGACTTGTGATGCAGCAAAACTCATGTCAGAGCATCGGCACAAATGATGTCATTAGTCTCTCTTATGTCACCTTTTGTGATGTCATTGTGGTGGGTCTCACTCTACCTATATAAGCTCTTCAAGCCGACCACCAGTCAGTCAGAGGCAAAGAGTCTTAGCTGCAGTCCATTTGCAGCCTAAAACCAGACACGTCCTACGTCTACCCTATCAACTCCGGCACTTACTCGAACACCTGTAAGGTGCTGTAAACTCCACTTTTTTAGCTACTTGTACCTCATCGGTACCTTATCCTGCAATCCTGTCCATTAATAATTACTACTAAGGAAGTGCCATCTCCTCATTTATTCCTGTGATATTGTTATTTGGACAACTAATGGAAACAGAGACCCTCCGGAAAGAACTATATTAATTAACAATAAAAATTAATAATTAACTAAATCTCTCAAAATAAATATTAGGTTGTCACTGAAACGACAACCTGACACTTACCTCTTTCTTCATTCTGATCCCATTCCATTTCATATACTTTATTTTTTGCAAAGCTCAAAAGCACAAAAAGCACCAACAAAACTGGAAAAAAGTAAATAAGTACAATGGAAGAAAGTGTCAGGATCGAAATTTTCCATCATCAAAAAAAGCAGTTAACTAATGAGAAGAAAATGACTGGCATTATTTATATGAAATTCCTCAGAATTTTTGGGTTATTGTTGTTTTTGACTTGATGGTGTTGAGATGACCTCACTGAGGCCATCTTTCACACCTGGACTTGTCTATGGTTCACTGGTCTATGGTGGACCATAGACCAGTGGACATTCACTGGTCTATGGTCAACAAAGATTGATGAAGTTTCATAACTTGCCTCGACTTGCAGTCCAATTACTATGATCAATTGACATGCTAACATTTAAAACTAACTTGTTTCCTTCTTATTGCTTTTCCATACTTTTCAAATATTGCATTGGAATTGAAAAAAATTTGAACTTTCAAAAATTTGGTCTCTTTTCCTTGTTTTTTTTTTTTGCTTAGACATTCTTGATTTACAGGGCTACCCATTACCCCCTCACAGCTTCCTCATATGTTCTGTACCTGTAAGAAATGTGCCCACTGCTTTGACAATGAGATGTTGCATCTGCCCACATTCACTAAATTTCAGTTAATGAAGTTATAGATCAAGTTATGCAGAGCTTGAGTCAAGTTATGCAGAGTTAAAGTTATGCAGGGAGAGTTAAAGTTATGCCGAGAGAGTTAAAGTTATGCAGAGTTCGCTCAATCTATGCTTGCTCACAAGATGGCCAAATATAGTAGCAAAAGTGAAACTTTTTCTAAGACTCTCTTTCGTTGTGAATCCCATGACAGTTAAGTAACATAGAAACCAGCATTATTGTCTAGACATTGAATGAAATTTTGAACTAGATCCAGGAATTAATAATGAACTGTATTCCAAAAAATTGCCAGTCGAGAATAGTAGTATTGATATTGGCAATAAAGAAAAGAACAGGGTTGGCCTATTGCCAATACCTATGATGTTCTAGACTTGTCTCATAGGGATCTGAAAATTGGCCTTTTGACCAGATTTATCCTAAACTGGTGTTGAATCTAGGTAGCTGCGTAATTATTGTAAATTTTTCTATAGCCTTATGTTTTTATGTTGATCAATTGGAGTTATTATTTGTTCACTTTCACATTACAATATTGTTCCAGATATTTATTATTTACCATTTGTCTGGTTGATTAAGCCGTTGTTGCCGGGTGGATGTCTCACGTTGCGGGTGAGGTAACCCTGTTACCTATTTTGAATTTGGTTTGGCAACAACCCTTCTATCCAGGAAGCCAAAAGGCAAATGAAAGACTGGTGTCTTATATTATAAATTGAAATAAAAATACAGTGAAAACAATGTACAATGTAATAGCTAAATTATTGAAAGGTTATCGTACAGTGTAATGAGTGGACAAGTTTAACTGCGCTTCAGGGTTATGAGCTATGATTAGGGATAGGGAAAGGGAGCATGGACAGGGTTACACCTATTCCATCATCGATGAACTGAAAAATAAAGAGAACAAAGATCAATAACCTGTCCAACTAGATAATAATACTAAGCCTGAAGGGAAATTGAATATTAAAACTGATGCAATAAATACTTATAATAGATTCTTAATTAATGGCAAGCTGGTTGTGTGCAGCAAGCAAGAAATATGAAAACAAAACAGGCAAACATAATATTGGGAGTGCAATCAGTAAAACATTTGCAAAGATAAGCTAAAATAAGAACCAGGAAAAACCACTTAAGTGATTTGTAAAACTTATGAAATTATTAAGATAAATACACAAAAGCGAAGCATTTAAGAATAAATTGCAAGCAGATAGTTGACATAAGAAATGCAATAAACATTAGATGAAAAGTAAAGCACAAACAAAGCTAATTAATCAGATTAGGAGGTAGTAAAATTGTAAGACACTAACAAACCATCTTTGTGATTAAAAGATCACACCTAACTAGACTCACCAACAACTTGTGGCAGTTCCACTTAGTGATTCGTCAATTTAGGGATCAGTAACTGCACTTGCATGTTCCTCTAATCATTATCACAATAATTGACCAAGTTGCAATAAAAAGAATTAATTTACAGGCTGAAAAGAATAGAAAGAAACCATACATTCAACAATAATTATTAAGAAAACATTAATTCAACAATAATTCATATATAGAGAGCAGATGGTTGGTGAAAAACATGGGTAGATGCCTCCCGGCAACACTGTAGTGGTTTATCATGGCATGTTTGAAAGTTTCTGGAAAGTTCACTTGACAAATGAACATGGAGGGTAGTAAATATACATAGAATATTTAAAAAACTCCTAATTTTAGAAATCCTCTACACTTGTTGCAGGGCTGACACACTATAGTAGTACATCAAGGCTAGAGACAGTTTAAGATCAGAAAAATCTAGCAGCTAATCTAAACTTAGACACAAGTTCCACAGAACAACAGCAACTGCCTAAATTAATTCCCAATGGGACATCACAGTTGGGTTACAGTTGTGGTCTGGGGACATCATCCACACCTCAATTGTTGGTATTAACTCTCAGTCCATACAGTCTACAGAAATATTTAAACACAAAAGAAATTAAAACAACCACATTAAAAATGAGAGTTTGGTAATCTTTTGGGTTACCCTTACCTTGCCAATTTACTAGATGTAGACTGATTCAAATCAGGTGATCCCATTGAACTGTACTTTCCCAAGCAATTTTTCTGTAAACATATTGGGGCTACATTTAAAATCTTTGCAATGCACCAATCTCCATCGAAATTTGCTAAAATTTCATTAGTTTAACATGGTCCCACAGTCCACACTCGGTGAAGCTAATGACCAGGATGAAATTCTAAAAATTATAGTTCATATATTATCTTTGATCCACCTCTGCCACTTTTTTGATCCAAAAAATTTAAAGATAGAAAGGATATAAATAGGAGAGAATAAAGTTGCACTTTAAAGAATGAAGTAACACTTTAAGATTTCAATTAGACTAAATATTTATTCAATAACAATTTGTCTTTAAGTCAAACACAACAAATTAACATTTATGAATTAATAACAAATCATGCCACCAATAAAAGTTTAACAAGATGCACACCACATAGCCATGAGTGATTTGATGCAGTAAACTCACTTTACTGCTTATGTAATGAAGGCAAGTGAGCAACTGTACGACATATGTTCTGTTCTTTGGTGGGTTAATGGAATTCCACTTTCCAATGCAGAAGACATTTCAATACACACTTGCCAACTATCACATGTTAAAAAGATTAGTGGTAAATTTAATCCTATATATTGATTGTTTCATTATAAACTAAGTGAGCAGAGCCAATTCAAGAAGCTTCATATGCCACTAATTATCAGGCATCACTAGCAATTTCTTTGTTTGATGTTTTAATGAACTGGAATCAACATAGTGGTAAAGCCTTTAATATACTGATTATTCAGTTCAAGTTAATTAACATTTGCATAATTTCTGATGAAGGTTTAAAATATATTTGGACTTTTACACCAAGAAACATTGATACCGGTACCTTTAATTAGCTCATTCAAAGAGGTCTGCAGAAATGACCAAACAAATAATAAGAATGAACAGAAAGGAGCACATGAAGCTTATGGAATAATGTTAATATGCATAAGTGTGATGAGAGGCCACAGGACAGGCAGAGATGAATTTTGAAAGCAAGAGAGGAAATACCTATTGATCAGAAAAAGCAAGTCATTATCTAAAAAATCTTAAAATCTGTATTGCAAAGCATGGAAATATTATTAGTAACAATTGCACAGAAAACAACATTTAGGGAAAGCGTATTGTCATTGAAAGTGAATCAATGGTGATGGTGGTTCAATTCAATCTGTAGGTAAGTAATGAGCAATTAGTAGATGGTGGTGAATGACTAGGCATCAAACCCTCAATGCAGAGCACCATATTTAACTGAAAATGATTGAACTTCAGGGCCAAGAAATAGAAAGACAATAAGGACTGGATCAAAAATAAATTGAATGCTACAAATTTATATATACGAACAAGGAAGTAACTACGTTTTATCAAAATGCAATGCTATGTCAACAAAAATTGAAATGATGCAACTCACCATGAGTGGAGCCACTAAATTAAACTCTGCAAATGTATCTCAATAAATAAGGAATTATCTATACTGTGTCTATAATTAATAAATACCAATGTTGATACATAATGAACTAATGAACCATATCACCCTAAAAGAATTAATTAAATTGATGGCATGGTTAGGTTGTAAGTAAAGAATGAAAGTGCCAAAAAAAGATAACTCTGCTAGCTGAGCTAACTGAATTCCATTACAATAATGATATTATGAATAAATTAGATAGAAAATGATGAGTTGACTGATACATGGAGCATGACATTGTCATAGGATGGAGGCAGTTTGTTTGCAAAATTACTGGGCCTGAAAACCTAATAAAGTACAATCAGTTGGCACCTGGCACAATGGTCGTCATGTAGTAATCATAGTCAAAGAAGTGTGTTGGACTGATAAACATAGAAGAATGTCAGATCCTCATTCCCAATTTAACTTCTTTGTACATTTTAAGGTATTTGTACATGTGCATTTACAGTACAGTATTTAATGAAAACATTCATTTTTTAATCATGCTAAATACACCCACTGTTGAGCTTATTAACATTAGGAAAATTCAAAAATAATGTTCAGTAAAAGTTAACAGTTTGTAATAATTGCAAGGAACAAGCACCATTTCATTTTAATTTACCGGTATTGGTAAATGGAGCATCAATTAGCCAAGTGAATGAACATCGGAACAAAATCCACTCTGGCTGCCGAAAAAATTCTGAAAACGACACATACAACAAAAATATTTATCAAAACCTCAACAATAATTTCTGAGGCATTTGACAGTAATATTTTGAACAATTATTTCATTCAGTAATCTTTTCAAGTTTTCAAACAAATATCTAAAGCTTTAGTCTGCATTCATGTTTAGCAGATGCAATCTCAAT